CTGGTTGGTGGGGGGAGGAGGAGGGAGAAGAGGGGAGGGGAGGGAGAGAGGGAGGGAGGGAGGGAGGAGGACCAGTGCAAGCCCACGACGCATCAACGATGCTGCGATAGACCCTCCCTCCGAGCTCCCTCGCCATAAGAGCCCACGAGGACGTACCTTCACTGCGGCAAGTGCCCCATTGAGAGACAGCCGTCGGAGAGAATCCTCCCCCAAAAAAAAACTGTTCCTGCGACTTCAGGCGCTGCGAATCCAGGCGGCTGCTCTGCGCCCGCGCAGAAAATCGACCGCGCGAGCGCACCGCTGCTGCGGCGTCGACACCGCGAGCCAACGTGACTGTTGCGTCCTGAATATTGAATGGGACGCACAGGGACAGACTCATACTACATGTCCTCCTTGGAGGCGCGCCCGCCCCGAACATATAGTATACCCATCTTGTAGTAGATCGTTTTCCCAGCGGTGTGGCCAGAGAGCGCCCGTCACGACGCATGTACTATACGATTTCTCGGTGCGCGCGTCGCCCCTGGGGGGGCGACGCACATATGGTATAAGTATGTTGGGGTAACGCCGATTAAACCGTGCCAGATCACTCTCGAGATTTCGACCCTACGAATCCTTGAAACTGTTGCAACGGTTTGCCACGAGTGTGCACGGCGCCGAGGCGAGAGGCACAGGTCGAGAAGGAGCCGCCCTCCATCCTCGAGAGCAACGTTTTGTGAACCGCCAGCCCTCCATGACTACTATTATTGGAACTGGTGCAAACTTTTCAAACGAATACGCACGGCGCTAAGGCGAGAGCCACCCCTCCATCCTTGGCACTGCTGCAAATTTCAATCTCCAAGGCCATGAATGGTGAGGACGTCTCAGGCGAAACGCCTGGCCCGCCCTACCGACGCGTCCGCGGTATAAAGGAAAGAGATGGAAGAGGAGGAGGAAGAGGAGGAGGAGGAAAAGAGGAGGAGGAGGAGGAAGGAGGAAGGGGGTGAGGAGGGAGAAGCAGCCTCCTGCCTTTCTCACCGCGAACGCGAAACATTTCCACATCCACGGCTCCGCTGTGTGGCCACCCCGGCCACGCCAGCACAAACGCGAGGCAGCTCTGCGCACATGCCCCCGCGCGGAACGAATTGGATCGGGTATCCATTGCGTTTCGGTATCCAAACCGCGAAGGCATCGACGTGGATACGGCTCGGGCCCCATATCTCAGACGGCCGCCCAACCATCAGAGCACTGCCGGCCTTCTTCCGGCATGAAAGACGACGGTCTCAAGAGAAACGGGACCTGGAAGCCAGAGCTCTCCCCGGGACCAGCTCTACGTCTCGAGCCGCTGTTGAGGGAGAACGTCAGGGGGGGGACCAGCTCAGGGGCGCAATCGGCGATACATCGCCGCTGGATCGGCGATAGGCCCCTGGTAGCGAAACCGCACTCCTGTCGGGCTCCTATTGCCGATCTGTGGCTGAGATTGGGGGCCGGGGCATCCCCCCCGAGCCTATCTCCCCTGGCGCTGCCCCTGAGCCCTGGATCCTGGGGCGCTCCCCAGGGCCAGCTCAACATCCCGGGCCGCTGGGCCAGGGAGAGTAGAAGGAAAAGCAACAATGAACTCGGAGACGTCGGTGCCGATCTCGGTCATCGTCCATCCTGGTTACCGTCAGATCGGAGACCATCCTCGCGAGTCGGCAACGGCGGGCATGGACCATGACCAAGATCGTTGTCGACACGATCCCGCGACATCTTGGTCTGTTCGGGCCGAGAGGGCCACAAGATGGGCCAAGAGCGCCCCCCACAAGATCCCCATGTTGTTAAGATGTCTCAGGCGAAACGCTCATTGCGGGAACCTTTCCTGACAGGAGCGGGAAGCGCGAAAAAGAGAAGAGCTGTGCAAGACCGTGCAGCAACATCACGATGAACCGCAATGTGGGCGAGCTCCCCAAACGCCCACAAGGGACGCCTATGGACGCGAACTCCCCGAACGTCGACAGCCCTGTTCCTGAGTATCCTACGAACGTCTTCTCTACGGCGTGGCGTTCTTAACCGGCGTCGCCTTTTGAACCGAACCGTTGCCATACGACGACGGCGACGACAACGACGACAACGATGACGGAGACAAATATACCACAGGTCGGCTGGAGACAAATATGCCACAGGACGGACGGTGATCGCACGGCCGCCGACGGGGAAAGAAATATACCACAGGTCGGCTGGCTGGAGACAAATATGCCACAGGACGGCTGGACACAAATGCACCACAGGTCGACTGGAGACAAATATACCACAGGTCGGCTGGAGGTAAATACGCCACAGGGCAAATGGTGATCGGATGGCCGCCCGGGAGACAAATGTACCACAGCTCGGCTGAAGACAAATATGCCGCAGGACGGCTGGTAGAGTTCAGACGTGGCGCTGATCCATGAGCACGGACACAAATTCCACCGTCCACCTGGCGACGGGGCAAGGGAGCAGGAGAAAGAGCGGGGAAGGGGAAGGGGGGATGGGGACGAGCAGGAAGAGGGAGAGGGAGGGAACTGAGGGAGGAAAGGAGGAAAGGGGGACCAGTCGGCGCGCGACACGTGGCCGCCAGGGGGACAAATATACCACTGGTCGGCTGGAGACAAATATACCACAGGTCGGCTAGAGGCAAATATACCACAGGACGGATGGTGGTCGGGTGGCCGCCCGGGAGGCACATGTAAGACACGTCGACTGGAAAACAAATCTACCGCAGGACGGCTGGAGGCAAATATACCACAGGTCGGCTGGAGACAAGTATACCACAGGCCGTCATCGTCATCAACATCAACAGCATCGCCACCGTCATCAGCATCATCACCCGTATCATCATCATCACCATCGTCACCGTCGTCATCTTCATCATTAGCATCAGCATAATCATCATAATATTGTGCTTTCGAGAACCCTGGGGACTGCGCCTTTTTGGGGGGATGTCTTGAGCGGACCGCATACTTCCGAGCAGTAGTGTTGAAACACCAATTTGTTTGAAAAGTTTGCCTCTTGGGCCGTCTTGGGTGCCCTCCAAGAACGCCTCTAAGAGATGTCGCAAGACAGATTACTCAACAACTCATTTGTTTGATGATGTTTCAGGCGAGAGCTTCATGTTTGAGCATACATTGGTCAACCCTTGGAACTCCTTGGACATCCGCGAACTCCTTGGACATCCCCATTGTTAGATGATGTCTCGAGCGAGAGCTACATGTTCAACATAAGAAGTCTTAACAGAGCCCTTTCGGCATCCCATTTATTCGAGGATGTTTTAAGCGACGCGCCAATGTTCGACGATCCGAAAATTAGGCCGTCGATTTCAAGATCTCCACTGTTGGAGGATATCACAAACGAAATCGCACGCGTTGGCATAAAACGTCTTAGACGATAACCCCCAAGATCCCGATGTTGTTAGGATGTCTCGGGCGAAACGTTCATCTGGGAAACCTTTTCTGGACATTGAAGGGACGCGCATGAAATCAAACAGCTCGGCAAGAACGCGCACCAACATCAAGTTCGAATGTCGCGCAGGCGCTCTTTCCAAACGCCCACAAGGGGTACCAGGTGGACTCTGTTATCCGCGCAAGTCCAGACGTACCGCTGACCCCGGACGTCCGAAGAAGAAGAAGGAGGAAAAACAAAAAACAAAAAAAACGCGCAAATTCCGACGTGCCGCTCACCCCGAACGTCCACAAAAAGATACCAGATGGAATTCACCATCCGCTCAACTTCAGTCCCCGCTCACCACGACCGTCCAAACAAAACAATACCAGGTGGATTTCACTACCCGCGCGAGTTTAGACGCCGCGCTGGCCCCGAACGCACAGAGACGATACCAGGTGGAGTTCACTACCCGCGCGAGTTCAGACATGTTCGGAGGATGTCTCAAGTGAAGCGCCCTGTGCTTAACAGAACTGTTGGAACCCCCCATGGGCGTTTCAATAACTTCGCCTTCGAGGACCCGTCCGAAGGCAATGTTTGGAAGACGTCTCGAGCGAAACGCTCACTTTCAAAAACGAAACTGTTAAAAACCCGTTGGTGTTTCAATAATTGCGTTTCCTGGGCCATATCGGACGTCATCCGAGGTTGCCCCGAAAAGATGCCTTACAGGAGCTCTTGGCGCATCCTATTTGTTTCGGAGGTGTCTCAGGCGAAACGCCCATTTTCGAAGATCCCGACTGTGTGAGGATATCCCGAGCGCGACGCTCATTTTTAGCAGAGGACGTCTAAAACGATAGCCGCCAAGATCTCGATGTTGCGTAGATGTGTCAGGCGAATTGGCCATTCTAACAAACCTGTATTGACATGAAAAGGAAGTGCGTGAAATCAAAGAGCTTGGCAAGAAAGTGCACCAACATCAAGCTCGCATGTCTCGCAGGCGCTCCTCCCGAACGCCCACGGGGGGGGGGCAGGTGGATTTCGTTATCCGCACAAGATGACTCCGAACGTCCGCCACCCCCACCCCCACCCCCCAAAAAAAAATGAGTCCACGATCCGCGCAAATTCCGCCGCGCCGCTCACCCCGAACGTCCACAAAAAGATACTAGATGGAATTCACCATCCGCGCAACTTCAGTCACCGCCCACCGCGAACTTCCACAATAAAATACCAGGTGGAGTGCACTACCCGCGCGAGTGTACACGCCGCGCTGGCCCCGAACGCACACAGACGATACCAGGTGGAGGTCACTACCCGCACTAAAAAATATTAATTATATATACATATATTCATAAATAAATAAATAAAAATGTGTAAATGTTTTTTGTTTCAATAACTTCGTCGTCAAGGACCCGTCCGAAGGCGATGTTCGGAGGATGTCCCGAGCGAAACACTCATATTTTCATTTTTTCAACAACAAAAACAATATATTCTTTTTTTATGAAAAGAAAAAACTGTTACAATAAAACATTGGTCTTTGCAGTAGTTTCGTTTCTTGGGCCATCCTGGAGGCCATCCGGGATCGCTCCGAAAAGATGCCTTACAAGAGCTCTCGGCGCATCCCATGTGTT